ACTTGCAAATAGATGCACAATCTTCTAAATGTTTTACCTTAACAACAAAATGAATAATAACAATAATAACAATAATAATTATTATTATTATAATTATAAGAATAATAATAACTACAAATGGAGTAATGATAATTCTGCTATTTGAAAATAGGAGTACAGTAGCCATTGGAATTGCAATCCAATTATCTTGTCTTTTTCAAAAAAAAAAAAGACCTTTCTTGCAAAAAAAAGAGACCAAACTTTTATTTTACAAGGTTTGCAATGTTTATAAAGGTACAAGGTTTTAAATACACAACTTAAGTAGCCTAGCTTCTGCTGGCTGCTCCTGCAGTGTGTCAATAAATGTCACAAAAATGTGAAATGGGCAAATACTGATGACTTTGTATGAGGCCTCAGCAGAACCGTGGTTTGTCCAGAGGGTGGCGCTGGAGGAAAGACCATGGAATCAAAGAATTTAGGCTGTCTGAAGCATAAACATGTTATCGTATTTAATATTTACTAAACAGTTTATTAGACTATTTTAAGTGTAAAGTTGACATTTTGTTTAAAATGGAATCTCACATCTGTTTTCTACAAGACAAAACCCCACAAAGTTCTCTCTGGGTTCTCCGGCTTCCTCCCACATTCCAAAAACATGTTGAGGTTAATTGGTGATTCTAAATTGTCTGTAGGTGTGAATGTGAGTGTGTTTGGTTGTCTGTCTCTAAGTGGAGCCCTGTGATAGACTGGTGACCTGTCCAGGGTGTCCTCTGCCTTCGCTGGGATAGACTCCAGCCCCCCGCGACCCTAGTGCGGATTAAGCGGTGTATAGATAAGAGATGGATGAAAAATCCCACAGACATTGAAAATGAACACAAAGAGGCACAAAGCAACTAAGAACTTTTTTTTTTAAAAAATTGTCCGATGCAGGACTTTTTCCATTTATAAAATACATTTACTTTCACTGACTGACGGCTAACAGTTCTTTTGCTTCGACTCCTTCAGACGTTTAATTGATCATAAAGAGTGTTAGCACATTAGCTGAGTAAGTGCTTCATCAAATAAAGAGTCTGTAACGGTCAGCGAGAGCTGCGGTCTGGTACGACTGAGTGGTTTAATCAATAAGTGGATCAACGTGTCAACAAACAATGCACAACAGTGCCTCCAGGTTTTGGGAAATGATGATGCAAAAGTGTGTACTTTGTCTTGGTTTCACAACAAGTGTGTTTTCTTTGGCAACATGTGGTGGTGTATGTGCACACATGGCGGGAAATCCTGGATCAAAAAGGGCCAGCTGTGGCCTACTTAACCCTATTCAGGACTTTCATGTTGCCATACATAGAAGGTCTTTTGGGGTCCATAAGAGTCCATATTTTTGGTTCCAAATGTATGACAAATGTCCTTCTTTTTATATCTAAATAAAACGGTCAGGACACTCAGCAGAAGGTAAAAATTAGATCTCTGCAGTCATAATGAACAGGTAACCTGAACCTGAATTCAATTATCTGTTCCAAGTCTTTCTCTCAGGATGTGTTTTTTCTCCTTTACATGTAACTTTTTAAAAATATATTGTACTTGTCATTCTTTCTCTATTTTAGATAATAATAAGAACAAATAGTTAAAATATAATTGCTTAATTTGACATTAGTCAAGTTGATTCAAACTGAGTCATTTAAATGTCACTGCCTTTGAAGTCTA